AAAAGATAACCAAATTCTCCACGAGATCACCCAGGGCGGGATATCTGCCAAATCGGGTACATTTGTCTAATTGTGGTCAAGCAAACTCACTTTTTAAGGTGTACCACACACGCACAGGTGTTGACAGATATGATCACCCACTCTTGACATGTAATTAACATGTTTGCTGAAAGACGTACTAAAATCTGGAAAAAGTAAGTCGGCATACTTGCTGGTATGTGGTCAAGTCGATGAAACAAGTAAATTAACAGGACTAAGCCTGTCTCTGAAACCTTGTGTAAGCACAATAGTGCAAATAAATTGTGGATTGCGCAACAGTATTGTACCAGGCTTCAATAAAATTAACTAACCTTTTCAGTTGGGGCATCTGTCTTTGGATCTTTATAAATCATTGCAGCACCAAGTACTTTAGAACTTTTCATTAACTTGGATCGTCCTTGTTTATACTGCTGGTCTTCAGATTCAGTTTGTTTTCTTTTACCTTTCTTCATACTCTGTAATGTAAATCACAGCAATTTGCTTATCCAAAATTACAAAGTATGGATGCCATAATGCTCTGGGAAGTGGTGACAGACAAGTGATCAAATATTTCCAGCATACACAAAATGCAATTTTTTGATTTTCTATTATTAGAGATGCATTTCTAACAATGTGGTGTTGTACTCCCATGCACCAGCGTACACCCCCACTTTTAGCACATTTTTAGGTTCACGCTTGGCTAATTTGTCTAATCATAAAGACTAATCATGATCATTGTTCGACTATCGCTACTGGTAATATAGCACTGAACAAGTTGTGAATGCGGAAGACCATGGTAACTGTGCATAAACTATGCTTTGACAATGACCTGTTGATACTTCATGCCATGCCAGTTTTTTTTTTTTTTTTTTTAAATCCTGCCGTTTATTCGCCGAAATCAATATCAACAGATTGTATAGACATCAATAATTCACTTCCATGTTACCAGAAAGTAGGAGAATTTCCGAAGAACTGCCTTAAATTTCGTACAACACAGCATTCTAATAGGTTATAAATAAGAGACCAACAGGTCAAATAGGTCATAAAAAGATGACTGAAAATGATCAAAAACATTCAACAATGAAGTTAATGTTGAAGATTTTGACTTTGTTCCAACAGACTATTATTTTCAACCTCATAAATTCTGGTTATACCTAATTAAAATAAATTATATTAAAATGATTTTTAGTCAATTTCCGTTTTTTCATTGTAAGTGTTGTTGAAATGAATGAAACATTTTTGGAGCGAGTACCTCGGGGCTAAGTCAGACGAGTACGGCATTCATAATATAGTGTTCCCTTGGTTAAATAGAGAGCATTTAAATTTACCGTTGGTTGTATTTTCGATCCAACAGTAAATGATTACTCAAAAGAGGTTTTGCCTGTATACCCACCATTAGACTTATAGCAGTAGTCTTTGTTCCGAGTTAACAAGCCACAGGGCTCTGGCGATTTTGTAGGGTCACAACAAGGCTCTGGCGATTTTGTACTTACTGAATCACATAACCTAATGAAACCATTTGTTCCAACTAAAGTTGATTGGCTTCCTGCCAGGGGTTGTAGAGTCTTTAACGTCATTCTTTTATCACTCAACCCTGGAGAAGACTGGCCCAGTTTCTTACTACTTCTTTTCCTTGCTGGTGTGAACATTCTATTTTTGCCTCCCATTGTACTCATAGATATCATCTTGTTTGGCACTTCCAAGTCACTCAGACCACTTGAACCATCCGTATCAGAATTACAGCCCTTCAGAAAAATAAAACAATTTAATATTTGCATTTAGAAATATACTATCCAAGATTTAATTCACTTGAAGGATAAAAGTAA